GGGGGGAGAGGAGGGTTGTGGGAACCCGGCCAGCTCAGAGCCATCAGATGACTGTGCCTCAAGGCAAGTCTGCAATTGGGGGGCATCGGGGGAGCCACATTAGGCACTTGGAGAACCTGACTAAGAGGAACTGTCTTAGCCCTGGAGGGCGGGCAGGGCCTGGTGACCCCGTAGCCTCCCCCGGCTTCCTTCCCTCCTGAGGGGGCCTCAGACTTGGGCCGGTCCCCTCACCCCCTCGACTTGGCTCCAGGCACCGGTCAGAACCTGGGACACCCCGTCTGCCCCCCAGGCTGCAGGAGGGTGTGGCCAGCAGGAGCCAGGAGCTCCCTCACAGACCTCCCCCAGGGCAGGAGAAGGGGCAGCTGGACGCATCACCTCAGGCCCCGCCCGGCTCCTGGGGCCCCAGCTGCCCAAGCTCCCGCGTGCACCCACCTGGTTGCCCCCCGAGTTGTGACACTCGTACACGCCGACGACGCCGTCGGCGAAGTGGCCCAGCGTGTCGAGGCAGTTGGTGCCCTGCTGCAAGGCGCCGAAGGCTATGTCCTGGTGGTCGGGGACCCTGGACGGCAACGGAGGATCGACTGCTTAACTCAGAGGGACCCCCGGCCCCACGCCCGGCCCCGGGCTGGTGGCTCGTCTCGGGCAGCAGGAGCGAGGAGAGGAAGGAGGGAGGCCACCGGCAGGCCCCGCAGCCCCCCCACAGGGGCCCGGGTTAGCACTTCTACCCTCACTGCAGCCCAAACCCCACTTTTTTTTTCCTAATTTTTTTTTTTGTTAATCCTCATCCGAGGATATTTTCCCACTGATTTTTAGGGAGAGTGGGAGAGAGAGGGAAAGAGAAACATGGATGTGAGAGAGACGCATTGATTGGTTGCCTCTTGCACGAACCCCAACCAGGGCCCGGGCCGGGGAGGAGCCTGTAACCGAGGTACGTTCCCTTGGCCTGAATCGAACCCGGGACCCTTCAGTCTGCAGGCTGACGCTCTATCCACTGAGCCAGACTGGCCAGGGCACAAACCCCACTTCATGGCGAGAGCCTGCCACCAGGCTGCCCTCTGCTGCCCCCCCCCAAACCCTGAAAGGGAGACCCCGGCCCGGCCGGCAGGACCCACCGTAGCTCCGGGTACACGTTCTCCAGGTACCAGCGGAACGGCTTGCAGCTCAGCTTCTTCCTCAGCTCCAGGCGGCTCTGGATACTGGGAAGAGGGAAGCGGACGCTCTCACACGAGTTCAAACGCGTGGGATCTCCACGTCCAACCTGCACGCCTGCCCCAGAACAGGGCTGGGTGGGCGTGGAGCCTGGATCGCCTGTGTCCCTGTGACCCCGGCCCGGCCCCCACCCTGGGCCCACGCCCTCCCTGGAGCAGAGGGAGGTCCCCCTTTGCCACCTGGGCGGCTGTTCTCAACTCCGTCGGTTCTTGGGGTTCAGGCCAGCCCCCCCCCCATACCACGTCCCTCCCCAGGGCTCCACGCAGAGCGGCCGGAGGGCACAGGCGACACCTACTTGCCGTAAGGGACGTTCCTGGCGGAAGGCACGGCGGCGTAGTAGAAGTTTTTGTACTCGTCCATCCACACCTCTGCCGCCCGGCGGGTGTTGCTAGGAGCAAAGGGAGCCTCCGTGAGCTGCGGTCTGCGCTCCGGACTTCAGCGCCCCCCTGTGCGTGTCCGCATGGGGTGCCACGCGGGAACGTCCCCGGGGTGGGGGGCCGGCAGCTTTGCCAGTGAAGCGGGGAGCGGGCCGGCCCTGCTCAGCGCCTACAGGGTGCGGCCTGGGCGGGTCTGTGTGTCCTGCCCCGTCTACTGTCCCGTCCCCCAGGCTCCGGTCACACCCTGTCCTCCTGCCCCAGATCCCCTTCATCTCAGCGCCTGGACCTGCTGCCCTGTGCCCGCAACCCCTCGCTCCTGCTCCGGCTCCCCCGTGCCTGACCGCATGGCCGCCACCACCACCTCGCAGCCGGGCTGACGGGCGTGCACACAGCTTTATCTTTAGCATCTACGAGTCCCTAGGGCAGTGGTTCTCAACCTGTGGGTCTCGACCCCTTTGGCGGTCGAACGACCCTTTCACAGGGGTCACCTAAGACCATCCTGCAGATCAGATATTTACATGACGATTCATAACAGTGGCAACATGACAGTGATGAAGTAGCCACGAAAATAATTGTATGGTTGGGGGTCACAACATGAGGAGCTGTATTTAAAGGGCCAGAAGGTTGAGAACCACTGCCCTAGGGACAGCGTGGTCCCTGGACGACCGCCTTGCTATTTTTCTTCAGAAAGCGCTCAGGTTGGCGAAAATAGACCCTACAGATCTCGAGGCCTTTCTGGCTTGAGTTTCCTGTGGCTGGACTTTGGTCTTATCCACATATTGGACCTCGAGTCAGAGTGTAAGTTCTCTTAACATAGCCTGCGAGCTTTCACACATGCCTGGCTCTCCCTGACCGGCCCCTCGGGCATCGGGACGAAGAACATCCCATCAGCCCCACCCACCTCGTGCCCCCCGTTGTCACAGCTGCCCCAGCCCGACCCCCGGCTGCGACTGCCCTGTAAGCAGGACGCACCCCTCAACACCAGCCCCTTCCACGCAGCACCGTGCCCGGGAGGCGCCCGCGGTCTGTGGATGGACAGCGTCCCCCGTCCCTGCTGACGGGCCGCCACCGAAGGCCACGCCTCCACAGGGCCGGGCTGGGCCCCCGTCGGGGTGGCGGTCCGCAGGTCCCGGCCCCGCTCGGCCTCTCCGCCACTTACCGGGCGAAGACGGTGCCGCTGCCGCCGGGGAAGGTGTAGGGGTGCTGCTTGCGGAACACGTGGCCCACGCGGCTGCAGGGGATGATCTCCAGGCTGCCCCCGCACTGCCACACGCGGAAGGAGATCTCTGTGGGGAGAGGCAGCGTGACCACAGGGCTCCCGCTCCCTTCCTCGCTGAAATCAGTACAAATATATTAAAAAACTGCCTGGCAGCATGGCTCAGTGGTTTGGGCGTCGACCTAGGAACCAGGAGGTCATGGGGGTCAGGGCACATGCCCGGGTTGGGGGCTCGATTCCCAGTGGGGGGCGTGCAGGAGGCAGCCGACCCATGATTCTCTCTCATCAGTGATGTTTCCATCTCTTTCTCTCTCCCTCCCTCTCTGAAATAATATATATATATTACACCCCCCAAAAAATAAAAGGGAGACTGTTTATACTGATGTGGGGACTAATTATGTCCGATGAACGGTCCCTCTAGTTTTTTCCAATTGGCGCCCTGCACACCACACACTCTTGCTGTTGCTTCCAGCTGCCCTTGGCTGCGTCTGCCCCACTTGGGGGGCAGGATAAGACCCTGGTTCCGCCAGAACCGGAAACCGTTTGGTGGCGGCAGACGCGCGGCGCATACGTACCCAGGTTCTCTCCGCCCCACACGTCCATCATCATGTCGTACTTGCCCAGCTCCTCAAAGTAGGACTTGTCCATCACGAACAGCCCCCCGGCGATCATGGGGGTTCTACAGAGGCAGAGGGGGGGGAAGGGAGTAGAGGGAGAGGTCCAGGTCAGCTCAGCGGCACTGTCACGCCACGGCCAGTCCTCCTCGCTGACCTTGTAAACATCCCCGCGGCACGGCTCTCTGCTCAGAGCCCCGGTGCCCCTCTGCTTTGCCACTGTCTCCACATCCTCCCCACCCGCCCTGCTAGGCGCCCACACGGCGGTAGGGCTGGTCCGAGCCCCGGAGGGAGTGACCCCAGTGGCTGGGCCCTCACGGACCAGCGGCTCCAGGCACGTTCTCAGCCTCTCTGTGCCCGGTGTCCTCGGAGGAGCACAACCCCCACCAGGAAGCAGGCAGCGCCCGTAGGACATGCCCGTCACCGTGCCCGTCTCAGCCGGGTCAGCAGGGCCCTGGGGTCGCGGCCACGGGGCCAGGGCCGTGGAGCAGGTGCCTCCTCTGTCTGATGGACCTGCCACCCTCTCGTTCCCATCAGCCTGGGAGGGGCTGACATGTCCACGGAGCCCTCCTGCCTCCCAGCAGAGATGCCGTGAGGACTAGCCCAGGGTCCTGGGCTGGGAGCCCCGGGGAGAAACGCTGGGCCCCAGGGAGGGTCCCTCATTCCTGCTCCGAGGGGTGGAAGGGCACCCCAACTCCTAGCACGGGCCCTGGCCCGGCCTGGGAACCTGAGCGCCGGGTGTGAATGAGGACAAGCGGCCTCCTCTGTGGGCAAACAGGAGAGCAGGTCGGACAGGGAAAGGCAGCAGCCGGGGCCTCCGCCGGGCCCTGCCCCTCCTCCCGGGCCCCTGAGGTCAACCCCGCGGCCCCACCGGCTGCGGGAAGCGCTCCTGTTAGGAACCGGAGGGCACCCCGGGCGGGCGGGCCTGCCTGGCGGGGGCCTCACGTGGAGAAAGACACCTCCACGCACCTCGCTCCCGGCTCTCCGACAGGTACCGCGTGAGCCGAGCGGGGGACGTGGGGTTTGGGGGCGCAGAGCTCCCCGGCACTCACTTGATGGGGGCGACCGGGTTCCCCTGCCGCGCGCGCCTCTGCTCAGGCGTCATGTAGTCCCACTTGAACACCAGGTTCCAGTCGAAACCTGCCAAGCACAGACGGGGGACAGGGCGCTGAGGAGAGCCGGCCGGCGGCTCCGGCCCCGTCCCTCTCGGCTTAGAGACCTGGGACGCTCGGATCAGACTCACCGGAAACAGAACAATGCAAAACACACAGCAAAACACTCGCGCGGGGCGGCGGAAGGAGAGAGGGGCTGGGGCGGAGGGGGGGCCTCGTCCCCCAAAGCTTCCCCAGATGCAACCCGTGGGCCGGGCGCTTCTAAAGCTAAAACGCCCAAGAATAGACGAGAAGCGAGAAGGGGAATGTGGGGAACCCCCCACGTATCCAGGGGCTGGAAGGAGGTGAGAAAAGAGGGGGGTAGTCTGCCCGCTGCCTCCCACACGCCCCAGGGCAGGGCACAGGTGCCGGTTCCCGGGCCTGCAAGTGTCTCTCTTCAGTCTCTCTTTAAAGAAGAAAATCAGCCCTGACCAGTGTGGCTCAGTGGATAGAGCGTCGGCCTGGGGACTCAAGGGTCCCGGGTTCGATTCCAGTCAAGGGCATGTACCTTGGTTGCAAGCACATCCCCAGTGGGGAGTGTGCAGGAGGCAGCTGATCGATGTTTCTCTCTCGTCGATGTTTCTAACTCTCTATCCCTCTCCCTTCCTCTCTGTAAAAAATCAATTAAATATATTTAAAAAAAAAAAGAAAATCGCTTACGGGTGGGAAGAGAGCAACGGAAGAACATATAAGCGTCACTCAGGGACCCAGACAGGGAGAGCGGGTGGGGGGGGGGGGCCGTGAGCGCACCTACCCCCTTTTAAGTCGGCGGACGCCCCCACGTACTGAAAGTTGTCCATGTTGATGACATCGATGATGGGCGACACGACCCGGGTCCTATCCTGGAACCGAGAGAGACAAGAGTGGGGTGAACACACCCTGAGAACCTGACCCCCCAAGTGATCCCAGCGCCTGGGCTGTCAGGCGGGGAGGGTGGGGGCGGGGGCTGGGTGGAAGGTCATGTGCAAAGCGTCCGGCACGTGGCGAGTTCTCGACCAGCAGCAGGGACTGCGGGACCGTCATGCCCGCGGCCGGCGGTCCTGTAAGGGTTTCGTGACTTCCTGCCCGTCAGCTCCGGTGAGCTGGCCCTGCTGGCGGGTCCCACGGGGAACACCTGTCCCCGAGGCCCCTCCCTCCCAGCACCGAGGAGAAGGCCGCCCGGCCTGCCCGCACCTCGGCCACCCTCTCCAGCAGCGGCTCCAGCCAGTGCTCGTTGCACTCGCAGTGGCTGTCCAGGAACGTCAGCACCTTGGCCTGGGCTGCGTCGGCGCCCCGGACCCGCGAGCGCATCAGGCCTGCGGGAGAGATTCAAACGCACATCAGGGAGGGCGGAGCGGGCCTCTGGGGGAAAGGCAGGAACGGCACAGCCCGCACCTGCACCCGCATCTGCACCTGCACCCGCTCCCACACCTGCACCCGCTCCCACACCTACACCCGCTCCTGCGCCCACTCCCACACCTACACCCGCTCCTGCGCCCACTCCCACACCTACACCCGCTCCTGCACCCACTCCCACACCTACACCCGCTCCTGCGCCTGCTCCCACACCTACACCCGCTCCTGCGCCCACTCCCACACCTACACCTGCATCTATGTCTGCACCCACACCTGCACCCGCACCCACACGCAGCTCTGCAGCCCCCCACACGGGGATTCGAGCCCACAACCCGGGCACTGAACCCTGACCTCCCGGTTCATAGGTCACTGAGCCACGCCGGGCGGGCAGGCGGAAACCTCTTTAAGGGATCCCTGGGTCAGGGAAAGTCAGCACTGATCACCGAGAGTCTCACCTTCTCGCCGATCGTTTCTGAGAACCCGCACTTTCTCGATTTTCCCCAGGAGCGCCCCGTCCTCCGCTGGGGAGAGAGGAGAGGAGAGCGTGTGACCCTCACGTTTATGGGGGCTCCGTGTTCGGCAGGGATTCTGGGCCACCTGCGGGCGCCCCAGAGGCAGGCACCCCCTCCTCTCTCGGGCCTGATCCCGCCCTTCATGACCCGCTGTCGGCGCATTGGCAACCACACTGAGGAAGGCTGGCGCCCGGGGGGAGGGCCTGGTCTGGCCTGCACAGGGGGACCCGGTCCGGCACTTACGGTCGTTGCTATAGTCGTCCACCAGGATGATTTCTCTGATGAGGTGGGGCGGGCTCTTCTTAAGCACACTGAGGAGAGACAGAGACGGAGCTGCAGGCCTGTGGGGTGTCACTGGGGTGGGGAATTCTCTTGTCTTCGCCCCCATCCTCGTCTGGAGGCGTCGTCGGCCCCTCCTTGCTCTGCACGCTCAGGGGACCTGCCTGCAACCCCGGACGGCCCCGCCCTGGCCGTGCAGGGGACACAGCCCGCGTGCAGGGTCCCTGCGAGGAACGCCCCCCCAACCCCTCCCACCACCGGGACCCTCTCCCCGCCTCACCTGACCACAGTCCTGAGCAGGGCCGACCGGGCCTCATTGTGGAAGGTGATCACCACGCTGGTGGCCGGCAGGTCCTCCCGCCACTGCTTCCGCTGACACCTGAGGGAGAGAGAAGTCTGGCCTCCGAACCAGGGACCGGGCCAGCCGCACCAGGCCCCTGGGGGGCCCGGGCGGGTCGACCCGCCCGGAGGGACCGCCCCAATGCACCTGGCGTCTGCAGGAGGCCCTGGCTATCCTGAGATGCAGTAACAGCGAGACACGAGGAAATAGAAAAATGCTCCCCGAAGTACTTGTTTGTGTGATTTAAATGTATCTGTATTGATGTCAGAGAGGAAGGGAGAGATGGATAGAAACATCAATGATGAGAGAGAATCCTGGATCGGCTGCCTCCTGCACGCCCCACACTGGGGATGGAGCCGTACCCGGGCATGTGCCCTGACCGGGAATGGAACCAGGACCTCCTGGTTCATAGGCCGATGCTCAACCACTGAGCCACACCGGCCGGGCAAAGGCATCCCTGTTTAATGGGAAATCCACGGGAGAGGGAAGGAGATGCATTAAAATCTCCGGAGCGCGGCCTTGGCTACAAGCATTAAGCAGTTAGGACCGAGGGGGAGGTTGAGGCGCGGCTGCGGACAGGGACCAGTGGGTCCACACGACCAGCGCGCTTACGGGGAAATGGCCGACAGACACTGGTTTTCCTTCCTGGCTGAGAAAACCGCTTCCGAGGAGCAGATCTTGCAAATGAGCAAGAAAATCAGTGCAATTAAAAAGCAATTAAAAAGGCCCGAGTCACAGCACGGGCCTCTTTTGTTTATTTTCGGTGTATGCACGGCGTGACTGAATGGATCACGAGGGAACGGCATGATATACCGGTCGGGGGAAACGCATCCTGGGATTAATGCCGTCCTTCATCACGGCTCCTGAGGCTCAGTCTTCAAAGACAAGCGGGCTGACAGGACGGCATTTCCTCCCAGTTTTAAGAATTAGCTGATTGTCAGACAAAGGAAGAATCTGCAGGGCTCAACTGTAAACAAATCCCCGGAGAACGTAGTCCCTACAACTGGGTCTGTGATGTAAAGCCTCCTGTTAGGAGGCCGCCGCCCCAGCAGCTAGTCCCTCTCCGCACAGCGGGCGCACAGTGGGTGCGCGTGGACGCACAGTGGGCCTGCTGGGCCCAGCAGATGCCTCCATCGCGGACCCAGCCCTGGGAGAAGCAGAAAAGGGAGGAGGCAGCTTTTTTTTCATGCTCACATGGTAGTCAGCTCAACCTATCCAATCAGGCCCTATTCTCTCCTCTCTCCTTTCCCTTTTCTCCGTGGGAAGCCCGGTCTCCCAGGAGCCCTGCGAAGCCTCCGGGCCGGGAGGCATTCCTCAGAAGGCACGTCACCTCCATTAAAATTCCTCTGCGGTCCTAAGGAATTGGCCAGCAGGACATGGAGGAGGCATCCCCATTTTGTAAGTAAAAGACCAAGGAATGGGTTCCGGCCCATGAGGTCGGAGGGAGTATGCGTGTGTGTCTGTAAGTGCATCCAGAGCCTAAGTCCTCACTGTGAGCCAAGAAAGGGAGGCAGGGCTTGGGGAGTTTCTTTAAGAGAAACAATAAATCTTACGTCTAAAGAGCCACGTCCGTGCCAGACAGACTTGACTACCCCAGAACCAGTGAGAGACGCCCAACATAGAAATTCGGGGGGGGTGGGGGGGAGGGAGGGGGGTGGAGGGGGGGCCGGTGGCCGGGACTTTCCTACTTTCTCTTGGGGAAGCTGAGCAGAAAGTGTGGCTGATCGGAAGTCAGCAGAGGAGGCGTGTGCCGGAGGACAGCACGGGCTGTGGGGTCAAGTTCACTCCCCTTTCTAAGGGTCAGGTACGGCCGCGGTCATGCTGGTAACTTCTTGCCCAGTAAAATGAAGACTTGAAAAGCTGGGCACACACGTGTTGTTGTTTTTTTAATCCTTAATTTAGTCCTAAATTCCCTGGAGACGACAAGGCCGTCAATATCTGAACTCTCGCCTGGATGGAAAACGAGCTGATCTCCGTGGCAACGTGGAAGGACGCTGTGGCGCAGGCCTGCCTCTGAGGCCGACGGCATCTGAGAGGTGGACCAAGACCCTGATGAGCTAATCATCTGTGAGTCTTTAGACTGGGAAGCTGGGGCTCTGTGTCATAACGCGGAGGGCTGCCCGGCCGGCGTGGCTCAGTGGTTGAGCGTCGACCTATGAACCAGGAGGTCACGGTTCGATTCCCGGTCAGGGCACATGCCCGGCTTGCGGGCTCCATCCCCAGTGCGGGGCGTGCAGGAGGCAGCCGATCCACGATTCTCTCTCATCATGGATGTTTCTCTCTCTCTTTCTCCCTCTCCCTTCCTCTCTGGAATCAAGAAAAGAAAGCCGGAAAGGCCCCTGTGACTCTAATACGGGGTTATAACAGGCATGAGGCTGTGTTCACAAAGTCAGAGTGAAACTAGTCACCCAAGGCTGCGGCCAATGGGACGGGCTGAGACGCGCTTCCATGCACACATACACACACACACACACATACACACACACACACACACACACACGGGGTCCGAGGCGAGGACTTGGCGGTCACTGTCAGGGCGCGACGCTGCTGGGTTTGCCAGAAGAGGTCACGTGATGGATGGGCAAGGGGGGTGCGGGCGGAGAAGCACATGCTTCCATAGAAGCGAGAGTTCCAGAGCCAGAGCCTGACCACAGAGCAAGACCACACTTCCTGCCGGAGACGCCGTGGCCGACGGAGGGGAGGCCCCGGGAGGGAGAGCCAGGCAAACCCGCTTCTCCCTGTCGCCCAGCCCGCGCCAGGAGAAGTCCAAGCGTGCGATTCGCCACGAAGGCTTCTGTTATGGAAATACGCACTCAGTTCACACACGTGAGCGAGTTTCCCCGCACGACCGACCCCCACGGGAGCGGCTGGTCCCAGATCACGCATCCCTTCGTGACGTGACGCGGCCCCACTGCCCCCACAACCGTGTCTCGGTCCCACTCCCACCCCAGGGACATGAGGTCACACTGCTCCCTATTCTCCCCCCCCCCCCCCCCCCGATGGAGTCAGATTTCTCAATTTTGCCAACCCCATTGGTTTGCAAGAGCCTCTCGCGATTCTAATGTCCGTCTCCCTGGTTTCGAGAGCGGCCTGCGTCTTTCCATAGGTTTATGAGCCGGCTGAATTGTTTCTTCTATGAACTGACCGCTCGTATTCTCTGTCCACTTTGTAATTAGGGTTTTGCCTCGTTATTTTTTAAAATACATTTTCATTGATTTCAGAGAGGAAGGGAGAGGGGGAGAGAGAGTAACATCAACGATGAGAGAGAAACATCCATGATGAGAGAGAATCATGGATCGGCTGCCTCCTGCACGCCCCCCACCGTGGACCGAGCCCGCAACCCAGGCATGTGCCCTGACCAGGAATCGAACCCTGACCTCCCGGTTCACAGGTTGATGCCCAACCCCTGAGCCACGCCGGCCGGGCTCCTTCCTTCTGCTTTGGATGTGTGTTTACCCTGTGGTTCCTCTCCACCTTCCTGAGTCACAGCGCAGGCCTGGACTCAGAGTGTGGAACAAACCAGCGGCTTTTAATCTGATCCACTCGATAGAGAAACAAGGGCAGTTCTGTGCTCCATCGCGGGTGGAGGGGGGGTGCGGCAAAACGCGGACAAGTGCCCTGAGGTGCACTGATCAGCTTCCACCTCTGAGGGTGACGTGGCCTTTCCCCCGTCCTGTGCCAAGGTACACGCCTGGGGCCGGGCCAGGAGACGGCGTGGCGAAGGGTGCCCTGGGGCCACTCCGACCTCCGTCTCCCTCGACAGCCCAGCACCTGAACAGGTGCCAGTCCCCATGCCCTCCTGTGGGCCAGGTGAGACCAACCAGGAGAGCCCGCGTGGGGGTCCAGCTCAGGTGGGAGGGCCAGGACGTTTGAAAAACCTTAAGAATCGATTTAAATAGATTCTGTCGGACCCCAGCGCCTCTGTCCCCCGCAGGTGTCCAGTGGTGTGTGCACAGCGGGTGTGAACACACAGGGCCTGGGGGTGAGGGCCCTGAACAGCAGGGGACCCCATGAGGCCCTGCCCGCACTGATGCCAGGCCTGTCCCCTTGCCCTCAGCCACGGAGACCACGTACACGATTTCCACTTCAAAGGAAGAACAGGGGCCCGGCCAGCGTGGCTCAGGGGTTGAGCGTCGACCTGTGAACCAGGAGGTCACGGTTCGATTCCCCGTCAGGGCACAGGCCCGGGTTGCAGGCTCCATCTCCACAGGAGGGGGCGTGCAGGAGGCAGCCGATCCATGATTCTCTCTCGGCACTGATGTTTCCATCTCTCTCTCCTTTCCCTTCCTCTCTGAAACCAATAAAAATATATTTAAAAAGAAAAAATACAGCAGCCTGAGTGGTGTGATCAGTGACAGCGGCTCCTTACGAGGGAGCGGCGTTAGCCTCGTCTGGGGAACTTGGACCCACACACGTGGGCTTCGAAGGAACCCCCCAGCACGCAGGTGAAAATCTCTGCCCCCCCAAGTCACTCCGGTTTCCCACCCCCGGCCCCCCTCACCTGAGCCCCAGCGTCCAGCACACACGAGGGACCGGCAGGCTGTGCTCCTCCACCCCTGCCCGGGCTACCAGATGCACCCCCACCCCAAAGGCCACCCCCAAAGATCCAGGCTTTCAAACAAGACCTCGCTCACAACCGGAGTCGGGACTCACAATAAGGGGGGGGAGGGGGATACTCGAAACAGGCGGGCTGTGACCCCCAGAGCACGAGGAACCCTGAGAGCCCCACCTGGGGTGGGGGCGCCCCTCAATCCCAGGCACTTCCGCTCTGACCCACCCCAAACCGGGGCTCAGCCTGCGGGATCCCTGCACGATGCATTGGCGGTGGGGACCTGGGGAGCTGGAAAGGCCCTGGGACAGGGTGGGAGCTGCAAAGGGAACGAAAAAAAAAAAAAGAAAGAAAGAAAAAAAGCAGCAAGCGACATCGCTGCTAATTTTCATGTAATTAAAACGCAGTTACTAATCCTCCAAACAGTGATAGCGGCGCACGCTTCCACCCAGTCGACGAATTTCTGATCAGCCCTCACAGCTCGAGAGCT